ATGACACACACACACCAAGGGGATTCTGGTCTTCCTGCAGATTCTGGCACAGGAAAACAGTTTCTGACTTTGAGTCAGTTCGGGACATGTTTGAGTCTCAACCTGTGAAACTAAAACAGAATTCTGAACTTTAAGCCCTGCACCTTTAATGTTTTCAGGAGGTAATGGGTTTTCAATACTAAACAATTCCTTTTCCACTATACAAGCCTAAAGGAGCCCTTAAAGGACACCCATGCACGACTAGTGTCAATGGTCCATGTTGCAATTCATGTTTGTTTGCTTGCTTTATTCAGTTTTTTTATATTTTGGTAACATCTGATTTCTATCCATGTTGTGTGTCTGTGTGGGTGTGTGTTTACTGTTGTGTAACAATGCTGACGTGTTGGATGATTTATCTGTACAAACTTACATGTGGTTGCCGTTCTTTCCTCTTCTGGGGAGGACGGGTTCTGAAGACTAGTGTCACTCTGTCCAGGAGAACCAGGACTTCTCATGCTCAGCTCTTCAGTTTCTTAGAGAAACAGCTCCCCATGTCTTCTTGGCGTTGTCACCCTATTTCCATAATTTCTTTATTTCTCTTTGTCTGAAATTTGCATGTTTTTACCACTTCATAAAAAAAAGACAACTATACAAAATGAAGTGAAAAACTTTAACACTAAAAACCCTTGATAGGATCCCCATCACTTTATTTGACTTTTTCAGGGCAATATTTCAACAGAAAAAAAATCTCATTTGCATTAGCTTTTTTGTTGTTCCTGGAAGTCATGTCTTCACTTTTTTTATTTAATAGTTTCCCTAAATAGAGGAAAGAAGTATATAAGTCTATATATAAATATATAAGTCACATGTTTCTTAAGTAACAAACTACCATGGGGTACTGGATCCTAATTTGTCACAAGCTATGATCATACTTGTTTATTATGGTGAATGTTTTTTCTAATTTTTTATTTCTGATGATGTGAATGTGACTATGTGCACATTTGGGGTGCGTAAAGAAGGTGGGGTTGGGATGGGTGGTCATGCTTAGTCAGTACAATTCAGAAAAAGAAAGGAAGAAAGTCTCAATCTTCATCTGTGATACTTAAACAACAAATCTCCTTCCCCAGGTCTCTCCCTTCATCCTGTGAGTAAAATATCTCATCCTTGCCTGACTTTGGCTACAGGATTATAAACATTTATTATAGCTCATTTTCTCAATCTAATTTCCACCTGAATAACATGTTTTTGCTGCTTGATATAGATATATTACTCTTTATTTTACAACTCAAAAAATTCTAAAATTGTATTATAAATCTCTTAGTTTTTTTTATTATAATTATTTCTTTAACATTTTCTGTAAAGAGTGCAATTTTCTGGTACTTTGCCCTAACTCTACATTTCAAAGGGAAGCTTCTAATCCAAAAACAACCACTAATGCTTATGTCTGCAAGGATTTCCAACACTGATGTTGCCATGGTTCTGTTTTTATGTAACACATGGTTGCTCAGCTGAGGTACAAAATGTCTTTGCAAGAAAGCAGTTTAACATTTATTGTTATTAGCCTATATTCATTATATAAAATATTATGCTTTTTTTTTTGTTCCCCAACAAAACATCAAATTCTCCCAAACAAAGTAGTTTCAGAGATCTGGTTATCACTCCAGATGGCTAATGCAGAGCGGTGTTCATCTTTTATCTCATCCAGTGATTGAGGGGGACTATAAAGTATGTATTAAATCTAAAATATCTTTCTGTCTTTAGATACTTTTTGACTAGAAACAATTAATTATTAGCCAATGTGTTTTATTTTTACCATTTTAAAATGTACAACTCATGTCCTTTAACTAGTTGAATTTGTTTTCCTACAGGATCATGATTCACAAGTCTCAATTTGGATAATTAGTAGCCTGGTAAAAACCAGCCCCTTGTTCTAGGTTTCGCTTCATCCAGAGGGTCTAGACTCTCGACTATCGAGAAACTGTTACTACTTTGTTGAAGTTTTAAATTTTACCCAATCGCTAACATTTGGCCATTACGTGTGTGTAGCTTAATGGAATTTGCATACGCTGTAAACAACACCAAGGGTAGTAGGGACAATTTCTTTGCCAGCAATAAAATCTATTAAACATTCTTTTTGTTCTGATTTTATTTGCTCAGTATTTGGAAGCATGGCCAACACGAACTGAATGGCTTCGTTCATCCCCTCCACTGCCATTGCTAAATTACAACCCAGTTACTAACCTGAGCACACTATTCATTACCCTGAATTATAAAGAAGTGCCACATTAAATTGACCCAGATTTTCTTAATGTTGGGCGATTTGATGATACTTACATGAGAAACTAATGTTATCCACTGATCTTATCTACTGCTTTCACAAAAGTCTGAAAATCTGCCACTGTGCTTCTGCTGTGAGGACTGGCTGACTCGCCCACCCGGGCATATCTGTATTTGCGTGGTTAACAATAATCACCTGACTGTTGTCAAATTTGCGACTGTAATGGCTTTTCAGACAAAAAACAAGTGTTGACCAAAACTGGAAGATCGTTGATTGGCCAGAAAACTACAATCAGTGCACCTTTATAAAAATCATAATTGTATTAAGTCAGAGGCTTTTTAAAGTTAAATAAAGTAGAAGTATTTCTGAACAACCACAGTTTTAAAAGTGGTAGAAGCTTCTGCTTTTAAAACCAGCTGATGTTTTCCTAAAGTAAATTAAAAACATAATGACATATGTAAGTATATTTTATTGCATTTAAAAAAAAATTTTTTTTCAATATTTCTTAATCAGTCAATCTACATTTTTTGTGGTTGCCATCAGTGCTTTGTCAGTTTCTCTCCTGTATCAAATTTATTACCCCAGATAATCATGGGAAAAAAGTGGTAAAAGATTCAGACAGATGTGTTCACAATTGAAATTTTTCCATGCCCAGTACTTTAAGGCTGTTCTTTTAAAATATGCACCTTTGATAGTCCGAGTGTGCTATTCAGCAGAACTGTCTAAATCAGTGGTGTCCAAAGTTGGTCCTGGAGGGGCGGCATCTTGCATGTTTTTTTTCTCTCCCTGGTGTTGGTAACAACCTTTTCAGCAGGTCAGCGTTCTTCTTAGGTGTCTAATGAGCCATCATTTAATCCAGGTGCGTTGAACCAGGGAGAGAACTAAAATATGCAAGATGCCGCCCCTCCAGGATTGATTTTGGGGATCACTGATATAAATGAAGGCACTGAAATGTGCTGAATATTAATTGAAAAAAGGGCTTTTTGATGCCTTCACAAAAAAGTGCCAACAATTTGTATGGCGAAGTTAAAATATAAGAGGAGACAAACTGTCAAGATTGAAGTAAGTGTGAAATATTTCAAATATTTGGGTTTTAATTTGTGAACAGATCTGTCATTAAAGGAAAAGAAGCCAGGCCAGAAGCTAGTTCATGGGACACTTTGGGTTGTGTGTCTGAGGATGCTGAAGAAAAGTTCAAAATAATAAGTTTCCTAAAATGCGCTGGTATTCATCAACATGGAATAAATATGGCATATTGCTAGATTTCAGGGGATTGTTGGAGTAAACAGAATGACTTAGAATTTACATGAGGGGTTTTTTCTGGGGCTGGGTGTCATCAGCTTCTACGTATTAAAACGCTACATAATGAGATGTTTATCTGTACTTTTCAACAAATCAGTTCCTTTTATTTACCGTTTTGTTACAATCCCCCTTTCACTCATACCAGTGTACAAACTATTACTACAGTCAATAAAATGATTTTCAGAAATAAAGAACATCCTCAACAGTTTTTTCCCAGCTGTGTTGTTTCTAAATTGTTTTTCACGAAACCAACTACAAAGTATGACATACAACGTGATGTTCAGACTGATGGTCAGACTTTAATGCCAGGCCCGCTATCAAAGAGAAGATCTGATCACTGCTGACTGGAAGCTCGGTTGATCAGAAACCCCTGAAGTAATTCTGTGTTGCGTTTTCTTATCTGTCCCAATATTTCACTAGGAGATATTCACTTGGTATTGGATCAAAATGAAATATTTTTGTCACTCTCATCATAAAATGAATTTTTTTCAAGCCGGTATAGCTTGTGATTTTGTAATATAATGGTATTCATATAATTCTGTCTCAAATCATGAAAATATCAGATATAAACAACATGTCAAATCATTGTATTCAGAGACTTATACTTGGATAAAGACTTTGTACTTTTATGTAAGTACAAAGTTCTTAGATAAAGTGTATATGAACTAATGTCTGAATTATATGTTCAACTTTATTTACTGCCTAAGCACCTCAGAATCCTGAGACAGGAAGATTTTAGTACTTTTAGAGTAGAACATGTTTATTGTATTTAAAGAAAGTTACAGCAAAGAGGGGGAAAAAACTGCTTTATCTATGCAAAATCACAAAATGTACAGTTATAAAAAACAGATGCCTGGATTATATGTTCAGCCTTATTAACCATGTATGCAACTCAAAATGCTGAAGAAAGGTTTTAGACTTGTGACTTGTGTTATTTCTATGGAATCACTTCTATATTCAGCCTGAAAGAGCGAGTGTATAGGAATGAGTGAGCAGACCAGAGCCAGACTGATCTGCTTGAACACACTGCTGTAAACACCGTCCTATTTGAGCTCTTCACAAGAAGCATGCAAAGATAATAAAACGAAATAACACAGAGATCTTAAGGAATACGGCCACCTCATGACAATAAATAAAAACTGAAAACAGAGAAGCACAGTATATGACAATTTATTGCAAATTGAGTAGAATCAAGGATGCCTTAGAAAAGAACATTTTGCCAATTTGAGCAATAATCTGAATTTGACTGCATTGCTTGATAACAACTATCAATTTGTAGTGGATGAACTGGACCATTAATCTATTAAAGGCCATGACACAACAAGGGCTGTGAATTGGTACTATATAATTAAACTGAATTGAATTAAAATTTATGATGTAAGTCTTTATCAAATTTTACAAATAGAGTAGATCTCGGCATCTACTCTACATCACAGCCTGATCTAGAGAAACTCATCCACGCGTTTATCTTTAGTCACATTGATTATTGCAACAGCGTCTTCACAGGCCTGTCCAACAAATCAATCCTCCAGCTGCAGCTGATCCAGAAGCTGCTGCTCCTGTTCTCACTAAAACCAGGAAGATAGAGACATATCACCAGTTTTAAAGTCCCTCCACTGGCTCCCTATAGCTCAAAGAATAGATTTTAAAATACTCTTGTTAGTTTATAAATCACTGAACGGTTTAGCACCACAATACATCAAAGATCTGCTGTTGTTGTTTACAACAACCTTCCAGACTCTCAGGTTCTGGTTCTGGTTCTGTTCTGCATCCCCAGAACCAGAACCAAGAGAGGAGAAGCAGCTTTCAGCATCTATGCACCAAAAATTTGGAACAAACTTCCAGAAAACTGTAAAACAGCAGAAACCCTGACTTCCTTTAAATCTCAACTAAAATGCACCTGTTTAGAGTTTAATTTGAAATGTAATCAATTAAAAATTTAATGATGGAATAATGTATTGTTTATTCTATGTTGCATTACTTTGCGTTTTTGTGTTTATAATGTAAAGAACTTTGAAATGCCTTGCTGCTGAAATGTGCTATACAAATAAAATTTGGTTGATTGATTGATCTAATGTTGGTGAAATACAAAGCTTTAAATATCTGCACAATGAATATAAGCACCACTGTTGAACTGGAAGAGGGTGTGTGTGCTAAAGCATGACTTGTTTCTAAATTTAGTACCTGGAAGAGGTTTCTGGTAGGCCCTAGTATGGCTCTTGTTTCTCCAGTGACAGCCTATCCCATCCAGGATCCCGGCATGCCTGAGAACTGTTGAAATGCACATCAGGTTTCATTACCAGCAACTACAACGGTAACTGTTGATCAACTATGGAGTTTATTACTGCCTGGACTGCAGTCTGACTGTTACCCTGTCTGAAAAACATAATTTTTCTGTATGTAAGTACATGTGAGGTTTTCTGTCTGTATTAATTATTGGGAGAGGGAAAACAGCTATTGAAAGACACAATTCTGTACCTTTGATTGTAAAGTTGCTGAAGTAGCTTCCATAATTTATGCTTTATAAAAAGGACAGTTTCTCTGATCTTTTTGAACCTGCAGAGCAGCTGTCAGTTTTCTCTTATATTAAAATGTCCTTTGGTCTTCCTCAAGGACATGACTGATCTGAAAGCATCCATCTGTTCTCTGTCACTCTTCTTAACTGCTCTGAACTCAGTGAGAGCAACACTATCTCATCTTACTGCGATCAGAGGGAAGGAAACAGTACGGAACCAAGACCAGTCAAATGCTCCCTGTTCTTTCATGTATGTCTTATGACTGGACGATACTTTGTTCCAGCTTTCTGTCCATTATTTTGAAAAACAACTAAAGATTGGACAGCGAACATCTTACATCTGTGCATTTAGATCTCAACACAGATACTCATTTTGATGCAATTGTAGACTGGATCATTGTAACAAGTCTTACCTCAGACTGTTATTTTAGATACCAAACAGTTGGAGAGCCTGTTTGGTATCTCATTAAAGGGACATGTCATGTCAAGAACAAAGTCAAAAAGTTCCTCCCATCATATGAAGGACCTTATCCAAATATTGCAACAATTATATAACTAATGGCTTTGGACAAAATCAGTTTTCTTCCTTGGGTCAGTTTAAACAAAAAAGACAGATTAGATTTATGGAAAATCATATTAAAGGTCAAGTATTAAAATAACACATTCTATTATCACTTTTGAAGAAAAGAACGGTTTGGTTTGAAGAAGAAAAATGTTAGATTTCCCTTAAATAAAAAATGAATACCTTCATTTAAAGTGTCTTAAATGAAGGTATAAATACTATGATACTCTCAGACGTAAAGCTTATTCGTGTCCAATAACATCTCTGTTTTCATAAGCACACAAACACACATACCACTAAGACATACTGGACTCAATGAAAACGACTCTACTTCAGAGACGGAGTTCTGGTCCGTCGGTTCGATTGCCTTGATGACATACAATGCTACCCACAAATTGTGCTGCCACGTAAACTACAACTTGACGTGATGAGACAGATGCATGAGGGGCCGGTGGGTGGACATTTTGGTGTAGAGCGGACCTTGACCAGATTAAGAACCCGATACTACTGGTACCACATGAGGGAGGATGTTTCCCTCTGGTGTAAAACCTGTACCAGCTGTGCATCAAGGGCTCGTCCCCGGAAGACACCACAAGCTCCTATGGGAACAGTCCAGGTAGGAGTGCATTGCAGTGAATATTATAGGACCACTAAATGAGTCTGAGCATGGAAACTGCTTTGTGCTTGTGATACGAGATTACTTTACAAACTGGACTGAAACATTTCCTATTCCAAACAAGTGAGCTGTGACCGTTGCCATTATCGTTGCTAGTGAGTGGGTGTGCCGCTATGGAATCCCTCAAGCACTAACACAGTGAACAGCAATTCACTGTGTTAGCAGTGAATTGCTAACACAGTGAATTGTAGACAAGACTCACACAACACCATTCAGGCCGCAGTCAGATGGTTGAGCATTTCAACGCAGTGGCGGAGCCAGAGGGGTGGCCGGGGTGGCACTTGCCACCCTCAACAGAGCCTTTGCCACCCCTACTGCCACCCCACTGGAAATGGTAATTTTAAAATATAATACTTATGAGATCGGCAAAGATTTGCCAGGAAAACTGTAATTTCCGACTGTCCCTGAAGGCAGCCCGACGCTGTTCATTGAGATGCATCCCTGCTCCAACACACCTGAATCAAATGAATGGCTCATTACCAGACCTGTTCAGAGCTGATCTCGGTCTGCTGGAGTAAGGCTGCATCTAAATGTTGCAGGACGGTAGCTCTCGAGGATTGGACTTGAACACTCCTAGAGTTACACCATCGAGGAGTTTTGCAGGTATTTACATTTTACCGCTCAGCAGTAACCACTGTTTCCTTCCTAATGAGAGGCGGCACTTGTCATACATTTGTAAAAAGAAAAAAAATGGTTGTGCACCGCTGCATAGTGCCTCGTTTATTATATTAGCCATGCTAGTGCTGATAGATCGTGTTTTAGACAGATTCTTTTAACATGTTTTAGTGACATGCTGCCCTCTAATGTTTTATATCTCCCAGCTCTTGCTTGAAATGTGTGGTAAGAATATGTGAAAAAAAGTTTTATACTGACTGAAATGTAAGTAGGCTATGTCATATGAAAGCTTTGAATTATAACCTAACTAGTTATATTAATTAATTTTGAATGAAAGGAAACAAATATTTTTTCCTTTTGTTCCATGAAACGGTCCATTTGTATATGGAGCCCTCTGATAAAGCCTTGCTCACCCTTTGGCCACCCCTTGAAAAAAAGTCTAGCTCCGCCACTGTTTCAACGGCACCCTCCAAAAGACTCTGGCTACTACAGCAGCTGCCATTGCGATTGGGACCTGATGATTCTTTATGCTGTTATGGCATACAGAGCAACCAAACATAGTGCTACAGGCTTCTCTCCAAACTTTATGATGTTGGACCGAGAAGTAAGTGAACCAGTGGACCTTGTGCCAGGTTTGCCTCCTGATCCGGAACACCCCACTGCTCCAGAGTATGTGCAGCAGATGCAGGAACAGTTGTTGGCTCACCAAATCCCTAGAGAAGCCCTGGGAGACTCGGGGCTCTTCTCACAAGTGCAAAGAGACAGTACGATAAGAACTGCTGCTATACACAGAATAAAGTTGGAGAGCCTGTTTGGTATCTCATTAAAGGGACACGTCATGTCAAGAACAAAGTCAAAAAGTTCCTCCCATCATATGAAGGACCTTATCCTCTCCGGTTCTTTTACCGGACACAATAGAACCCAAGGTTCAAGGTGACCAGTTAAAGCGCTGCTGCAGCTGGGAGCCCTTGGACAACACATGGGTCTTGGTCCAAAGTCAACACTGAGAACCTATGGAGGTTCCACCACCAATCTTAAGAGGAGGACTTGGCAGACTGTGACCTGGACCTGCTTGTTCTCTGATGCAACCAGTGCTGGCTGTTTCCTGCTGCCTACCTCAACTGCATGGGTCCAAATCTGGATGTGTTCACCCCATCTTGCCCTTCCACTGTCAACCATGAGAATGGTGGGGGTGCGATGGGATATTCCCCTCCTTTGGGCACACCAGTTTGATGGTGTAGGCGTCGGTGCAGAGAACCAGACCAGTACGGCACATGGATAATTCCAAGTAGGGCCATGGATTCAGTTTAGGGTTCCAACTATTCTAGTAAGCTAAAATTATTCAACAAGGCCACATATATCTATTTTCTTTATTACTGTTCAATTGTTCAAACTTTTAAAAAAAATTAACCGATGAGCAAATGGTTATCTAAAAGAACATGTTTTGCTGTATGTTTTTCATACCTGATAGTGTTCAGTTTGTGTCCTGCCTGGTCATCATAAATGCCATTGAGTAATTTCTTTCCTCCTCTATGGCATGTAAAGCTTAATTTTGCAAATATAGCTTCACCTTACATGAGCTAAATATATCACTGGGATATGTAATTTGATACTATACCTCACCTATATGTAATGATGATTGACATAGCTATCTCTTGTTAGCTATAGGGATTGTGCATCAGTTTTATGGGTTGTAAGGCTGGAGTGGAATTATTGCTTAAATGCCACCCAGAGTGGGGGTACTGTTGCAGAAAGTGCCTCCACTATATGTGATGATAGCTCAGTAAGTGGTGTGTATGTTGAGTGTGGATGAGTGAGATGTGTGGCAGCTGTCCTCCAGTCAAAAGGGGATGCTGCGTGCTGAAACCCACATGCTAGCTTTATAGTGACCTTGAATGATTCAGTTCAACAGCCAAACATTTATGCTAGTGTCCTTGTGTGAAGCTGAGTTTCAACTTGAAATTAGTTTTGATTCTCCTGCTTGGCTTTGTATATTTCTGAGGGATTTTTTTGCTTCAAAACACCGTGTTTGATAATGTTTGATAACGTTTGATAAGACTAAAATTTCTCAATGTTTGATATTGCCTAGCAAAATGTTTTACATCAGCCATGTTCTGATGTAAATGGCTGTTTATAGCAGCCATGTTCTACATGGCTGCTATTTTAATATATGGATGAGCTCCTCTAAGTTGTAGTTGGTGATATGTTATTTTCTGCTGATCATTTATGTGACTAAAACAAACAATATTTTTAGATCAACTTCTAAGGTATGTGAACCTTCTGTTAAAGTCATTTGGAGGCTCAGAATCAACCCAGTACCGATCCACATTCTCAAGAGAGAAAAACTCACCTGACGTAAATTACATTTTTAGCTATTGGAGTAACGCTTAGGAGAAATTAATTTAATTTAACAACATGCATTATGAGTCATGTTGTGCTTTAAGTGGACCAGTATGCATTGGTAAGTTTTCATTTTTTCTGTTCAACGTACTAGAACTTTTTCCCAATGTAAGCTTAGCACTGAGACACATTCAAGTGTTGTAAAAACTATTAAGTCAGTCTTTTTCCTATTGCTTCACACTACACATGCGTTAAAAAAACATATGTTTGCTCCTTACCCGTCAAGTGTTGGATATGACAACATGGGTGGACGGAGACATAATTGTGATATGGAAAACTATGGCTGGAAAGAGGGGTGAAATATTGTGGCTTCCCTGCCAAAATGGAAGACTTGACAGGCATGGCTTGCTCTCCTTCTGACCTGTAACTGGCGCGCTCTGCTTGCAGACAGAGGGACCAAGGCAGTCTGTCAAGTTTCCTGGTGAAGAGATGGAGCCAATGCACAGACCGTCAGTGTTGAACCATGTATGTTCCAGACAGATCAACAGGGTGTCAGGAGCCTGTTGATCAGAAAGGATGTCATCAGACTTCTACTCGAATGGAGTTTCCAGAAGAGGGGGAGTGTGTGGAGGTTCCTCCATCTTCTCCGTGTTAGTATTCCTTTCTTGAGTGTTAGTATTTAGTTAATGTTTTATATTGATAATATTTATATTGATATCACTTTTTCTTTGGTGATGGGTTTTTGGTATTAAGTTGTTTACTAGATTGGGTGCACACATTTTAGTAAACACTTGGTTTATTTAGAATATTAACTATTTTGTTTTTTGTTGAGTTGAAGGACTGGCTGGGAGGATTTGATTGTCTTGGGTCAAACCAGTAAATGGAACAAACCATTAGGGTGTGGGAAGCAGGGAATTTGAAGTGGAAGATTCCTCCTCTCGTCCTATTGTTAAAATATTTATGGTGTTAGGTTGTTCTGTTTTATAGTTGTGTTAAAGTAAAATGTGATTTGAATTTGTTATTTATGTTTATGTATTGGTTGTTTTTGTTTTCTCCCCTGCCCCTCCTTGTGTGTGTGTAGGCTAGCCTTTGTATATAAATTCCCCTGTGTGTTCATTGTGAAGAGTCAGTTTTTGTTTTGAGTTGGTATGCTTTAGTTGATTTTTTTTTTTTGGGGGGGAGGCATTTTTCTTATATTTCTTTTTGAGATTTGTTGTAAAAAGAAATCTTTGTTAAGCTCTTTTGAAAAATTAAATAGTTACTTTTTTTATATGCCTTTGTCCTTGGTTTTGCTGGTTGGACCATCACAATAACATACAAGGATGTATAAGTATTCTTAGCCCCTGAACTCTCTCAACTTTGGCTACAACTGAATCACCAGTATGCTGTATTTAAGGAAAATAAATAGTGTCTATTTACTAAGCAATGTTGCTATGACTGAGGCTATTAAAAAATTCAAAACCTTTAGGAGGGTCTTTTGTGCTTTTTTTGACGTAGCAGCCCCCAAAATCTCCCGATGGTATTAACCTCTCCTAACCGCTCCAGCACTGTCAGTTGAGACAGTGCTGGAGCACAATGCCCATGCCCTTTTTTAAAAGTCTTCACTGTATTTTCCAGTGGTACCATGACAAGGGAAAAAACTTTTACAATCTGAGATGCACAACAAACTTGACAGAAATGTGTAATACATAATTAACCCCTTAACCTGCACCGGAACGCCCTCATGCTGTTTTTCCATTGTATTTTCCGGGGCTGAGATTTAAGGGTTTAAATTCCATTACGATGCTTTTATTGGGCAACCTAGAGTCCCCGCCCCCTCCTCCTATGATTGACACCACATTTGACCAATAATGTTATGAAATGGTTTTTCGTGCCAATAATATCCACAGAGCGATTTGAGCTCATTTTCACATGTCTTTATAGAGCTTTGGAAAGTGGCATCACTGCTGTAGATGTACTCTGCAGCGAAGGATATGAAGGGATATGGGCGCCATTTTGAGGGGCCATAAACATAACCAGCAAAAATGACTTTCTTGCAGATTTTTGGAATCCTAGTTTCTTATAATTATTTAGTGATGGTACAAGGTTAGATGTAATGTCCGATCACATGACCAAAATGGTAAAAAATTGCAAAACGGACTTTTGTTTCACCGTTTTCCTGCCTGGAGAAACAACGTGGCGATGGAGTTAAGCTAACAGATCTAACAAAAGGGAGATGAATGTCCTGGGTATCAGTGGTGAGACTTCCTGATATTATGTTCTCCAACATCCCAAGATACCAAAAAGTTTGATCCAGACATGTCCATTCAGGTGAGTGTCTAAATTTGCTTTGTTGATGTTGTGTCATCATGCTTTGCTATGATTTTGTCCGGGTGTATTCATATTTAGTTATGTTGAGTTCATTTAAGTGGCTCAACCTTGTTAAGGTCGTACTTTATTGATCCATTGGGAAGACTCCCTCAGGAAATTGAAGTTACCAGCAGCTTACAGGCAGAAAGGTGGCACACAGTGAACAAAATACAAAAGAATACAACAAATACAAATTAAATACAAAGGTACACACTAAATGTCAGTAGGCAAAACCCTAAATTAAGCAGAAATAAGTAAGGAGTAAGAATATAAATAAAATATAAATACAACACAAAAGAAAATATAGGAATTTGGAGGATAGATTGACCAGTGATATGATATTGCACTATATGGTTTGGCCTGATAAGTGTGAATATTTGCAGAAAAATACAAGGGGTCACTACTCCACTATTCTTCCCTCTGTCCTGTGTCACCTCCCACCCTCCAGTGAGAAGTTGTACAGTCTGAAGGCGTGGGGGACAAAGGAGTTCTTGAATCTATTGGTCCGGCACTTGGGAACCAATAGATTCCCAAGTGCCAGAAGAGCCTGTCACTGAACAGGCTCCTCTGGCTGCTGATGACGGCATGTAGAGGGTGGCTGCTATCGTCCATGATGTCCAGCAGTTTGTTCAGTGTCCTCGCCTCTGCCACCGTGACCAGAGTCCGCTTCACGCCGACCACAGAGCCGGTACGCCTGATCAGTTTGTCCAGTCTGTACGTGTCCTTCTTGGATGTGCTGCCTCCCCAGCAAACCACGGTGTAGAAGAGGACACTGGCAATCACTGACTGGTAGAACATCCACAGCAGTTTGCTGCAGATGTTAAAGGACCGCAGTCTCCTCAGGAAGTACATCCTGCTCTGCACCTTCCCATACAGGTGGCTGCTGTGTTTTGACCAATCCAGTTTACTGTCCAGCCACAGCCCAAGGTACTTGTAGGAGTCCACGGCCTCAACCTCAGTTCCCTCTAGTACAACTGGTCTCGGCTTTGGTCTGGACCTCCCATAGTCTATAACCAGCTCCTTCGTCTTAGCGGTGTTGAGTTCTAGATGGTTTGTGTGGCACCAGAGAGCAAAGTCCCTCACCAGACAGCGATATTCCTCCTCTCTGTCGTCCCTGATACATCCGACTATGGCTGTGTCGGACTATTTTAGTCCGAGTTTTGTCAGTGGACATCGAGGTTCTTCCATTCTTGTGAAGTAAACAATTTTACTAGTGTTTATCAAATGTACAGAATGAATACTAATATGTGTTCTGATATGTCCTCTTCAAGGCAAAACGACATATGAAATGGATGAGCTCAATCCAGACTAGGTTCCAGCGCTGAATCTGGATCACTGCGAGGTAAACGCCACAACATCGGACCAACATGAGTCAAAGAGGCGATACAGCAAGACCATGATGGATCAACAACTGGGTGAGCAAGTTACAGAGATTGTTTTCATTATAAAACACAGTAGTGGTGGCTATAGAAGAGGAGCAAGAGGCTGAGGAGGAAACCCCAGCAGAGGAGCTCAGCAAGGCTGCTCCGAAGAGCAACATGAACCATTTGTGTTGATGAAATGAATCATATGTTAGGTAAAAATTTGATACCTAAAATATTTCAGGTAATAAACATATATGTAATGAAAGATTTTATTTTTAAATTAACATTTTATGTGATTAAAGTAAACAATTATTTAATCTGACATTTTGCAGTAGACATTTAATGTAAACAATCAAACCAAATGAAAGAGCCCATCTTTAAACATTTAATGTAATCAAACAGTTCAAAGTAAACAATAAAGGTTATGAAATAAATCACACTTTAATATTTGTTGTATTTAGCATATTTCAGGTAAGAAGTGAATATGTAATGAAATAGATCCTGGCCTAGAATTTTATGTAATTGAACATTACATGTAACAAATGTTATGATCGTCTGAGGTAATACATTTTATGAACATTGTTTAAAAATATTTGTAAAATATAAAATTAGTTAAAAAAAGAGGGGTTAAATGTAATAAAGATGAGTGTGCTTCATCTATACAGTAGAACAATTTCATATTGATTATGAATTAATCAGGCCATGATTTGGAAGCTATTTAAGAAAACGTTTAATAGTAAAGTTATTTAAAATATTGAATATGATTTAAAATTTTAATAGAGGCTAGTGCCTCGTGTAATTATCACTTTTTGTATCAGTTGGTCACAAGGCAAGGCAGCAGTGTTTGGTTCAGAAATTGACGGTATGAGCGCTAGAGGAGGAATTAGCATTCATAAATCGGGTCAATCTCGAGCTAAATGCCCCTTACACCGCGGAGCGCAGATATCCAATATCCAACTTGTAAACAACTTCACTGCGGTCGGTAACACAATGTAAATGGCGAAATAACGTTTGTTTTAGTCTGTGGCCTCAAAAGACTGCACCGAGCAACGTAAGCTCCGGAGCGGAGACAACAACAACCACCTATCATTTTAGTCTAGCTTAAGCTAACCGGAATATTTACAACTCTCTTGTTCATATACTGACATTTCTTACCTTCTGTCTCTTTGAAAAGGTTTTCTTCGTCTATACAACATCTTTGTCGAAAGAGAGAGCATGTGACCCCTGTCTTGGCTTCACTTCACTGGCTGCCTGTTTATTTTAGGCTCTGTTTTAAAATTCTTATGTTTGTTTGTTTTTAAATCGCTGCACAATCTTGCCCCGGCTTACCTCACTGAGCTTTTTCACACTTACATACCTTATCGGTATCTAAGGTCTGCAGATCAGTTGGTCTTGGAGGTACCGAGATCTAGACGGAAGCTCAGAGGGGACAGGGCTTTCTCTGTCGTGGGTCCTAAGCTATGGAATGACCTGCCTTTGCAGGTTATAGAGGCTCCTTCACTGTCCATTTTTAAAGCTCGTCTTAAAACCCATCTATTTTACTTGGCTTTCAACTCCAGCGAGATCTAGTTTTACATTGTTTGTTTTAAACTGTAAGAGTTTTTATTTGTTTTTATCTATTTTATGTACAGCACTTTGTATCAGCTGTGGTTGTTTTAAAGTGCTTTATAAATAAAGTTGGTATGGTATGGTCTCTCTCTTCTGTTTTGAGCCCAGGAGTTTTTTTCTGCCGCCCATCTTTAGCTCCCTGTGCTCAAGTGTACGGAGCCCCCTTGGAGACATGGGGACTTTTTTTCTTTTGCGTTCCCTCGCATCGCAAAGGTTTTGCGAGGGAACGCAAAAAATAAATAAATAAAAAATTCCCCATGTGCCCTTGGGAGCTCGTACGAGTGTACTTATACAATTCAAATTTTAAAAAAAGAAAAGAAACGCGCCTCAGTTCATTGTCGAAGCTGTGTGAGAAGAGAGAGCAGCTGGCAGGAGGGCAGGGGCAGCTAGTCAGTGCTGTCCCTGTAACGTAGTTAATATTGTACAGAATTCCACTTGTCTTTACTTCCAAGTTTGGGTTCAGGTGTAATGGGTGAAACAGACCCCCTCCTGGTGGTTGGCAATGTTAAATATAGTGAACATGGATATCTCGTTGCCAGTTCATGAGAGATGGGCGCGAGGTAGGTTCACTGGGAACATTGTAACGGTCCTGTAAAATGTTCTGTTAGTTTGTTGCTAACATAAAATACTATTCCTCGTAAGGTGCTGTACTGCCGGTGATGAACCTGGTCCCTGATTATTTTATATCCTGTTTCATACAGATAAACTACATCTTGTATCATCCGGTCTCCTGGTCCATATTCACACAACGCAGAGTACTGACGAACAGCCATAATAATTAAAAAGGTTACATCCCTCTGCTATTGATAATTTCATATACAAACAGCGGGTAAGTACATAAAATGCTGACGACAAAAAATTCTCCACATCGTTTTTGCGCTCCCTCTAGTGCAGCGCCCCTATGCGTTGCATATAGTGCATTCCCTACTGGCGACATACTGGCTCTGCTCATCATTCAACCTTTGTCATTTGTGGAGTGATACTGACCCCAAGTGGTCAACGACTGAAATACTTTGTAAACTGACTGCTGACATACTTAATATTATTAACAGAAATGAATAAGTATTTGTACTATAACAATGACGCATTTCTTGTGCGTATGCATGTTTTACATTAGGGCCAGGTGATGAACTTCTCAGAGCTCTGTTAAAAGCCTGGGAAATTGATTTCAAACCTAACCCTACTTTAAATGTCTCCACAACTCCCTCTGTAACCTGCTGTGTTCCTTGGTCTTCATGATGATGTTTGTTCTTTATTGTTATTGAACATACTTCAGAAGTCTTCTAGGAAAAAACACACTGCTGGAATGTTTGCTGATTAGTTGGCTCCTGAAGAAAAACTAGCTGTTGCACTAGCTGTTATTTCAGGTCACCAAATTAAGCACTGAATCCAAGTGTAACTCATACTTTCCAGATTTTTCTTTGTCAAAAATTTTTGAAAACCCTGCAGGAATTTATACTTCATCGCTTAGTGTTGATTTTTTACATAAAATTCTGAGATACATCAAAGTTTGTAATTGAAAGGAGAGGGAAGAGGAAAAAACTTGACTGAGATACACATACACATACAAATCATTGCAGCTGTTCACTTAGGAAACTTCATCTTCAATGACATTAGTAGCTTAGTTTTTCTGGTTTGCTCTTGACCCTTAGACCCCACTTTTGTCTGACTTCATAAGAGCATGTCTCCATGCCAGCAGCATGGTGAGCTCCCGGTTGAAGAAATTTCAGAGAATAAAAGCAGTGAGGAGCTGAGCATGGAGGATAATGGTGGAAGTGTATTTTGGTGGCTCTGGGAATCTTTCCTGGGAGTTTCACCTGAGGTACAGAAGACTACAGTTGAAACTCTCTCACTATTTCTCTGTACTACTGAACTCTAGTTAATTTCTTCTCATGTTGGTGTTCTTTGTCAACTGAAGGTCAGCTGCCACATTGAATATGGGCTAGACATGGCATAGACAAGGCTGTATGTTTAGGAAACATAATTAAGAAGTGAGTGAAAAGAAACTTGAAAAACAGATGAGAGCGCTCACAATACTCCCAATTCTCCTTCCTCTGAAAGCTGCATGACTAAACTTTGTTCTGGGTTTCTTTGCTCTCTTTGTTACTTTCACCTCCTTAACCTGTTCCAAAATTTGTACGGACAATTCCTTCATTCATTGCTTGTACATCTCTTCTGTTGCTACTGTTTTCAGTTCCATTGTTTGAGGCAAGCAGCACATGCGTCAGTTATTTTTTCTTCCTCTAGATGGCACTGTCAGGCAGGGATTGTAGTTTGTTCAACTGACATTCATTGAATGAATGTCAGTTGAACATTCACTGAATGAAACCTAATTTTTTTTCTCTTGGTGTTAGAAAGCAGAGCTTGTTGTTTCAGAGGAGAAGGAAGTAGTGACTGGCCTAGGTGCTGGTCAGACTGCAGAGGATGGAAAGGTAACACAAGAACATTCTTTGTCCTTTTGATTGGTTTCAGCAGGATACATCCAGTCATCAAATTTTGTCAAAAGTTTTTGTAAACCATGTAGGAATTTTCCATTGTCAAATCCTAAAAGTGGTTCTGATGCAGTAACAGAACCAGACACCGATTCTGATTTATTTGGTCCCGTAATGCTTGGTTGAACATTGGCCAAACAGGCCAATCTTTTATTGTGCATCTCTACAATAAATAGAGATGCACAGAGAATTCAGAGTTCAGCTTGATCAGTTTAGACCATGAAGGCTGAAAATTTGCTGTGGTTTGAGCTTTTAATATCTGTCATTGTTGACAGACTTTCTGCCCTGTTACAAGTGGCCTTAAAACATAGGTAAAGAGACGGACTCGACAGGCAGCCCCTTTACGCTGATTTGCAGAAACATGAACTGGTGTTGTTGCTCCAGTTCACAAACACATGTAGTAGTGTTTGTGAACTGGAGTGTGTGATGTTGCCATTAGAGATAGTTTGTGAAGCCAAATGTTTAAACTAATTTTTATTTCAGATCATATTTATATATATATATAGATGTCCTTAATCGGCCATTTGTGGCAGAATGCATAGAGAAAACTACTCATTAATGAACTGTTGAAATATGCATACATAGTTTTCTCTGGATTCACTGGGTATTTCTTGAACATCTTTTTACATTGATGTAATTTGCCACTATGTTGCTTTGATTTAATTGCTAAAATAATATTTAAACACACAACTGTTATCTTGAAAATTCTATTTATGAGTCTGTCACATGGTTTAAAAGGCAGCACACAACCTTTGTGGTGTGAATATTTGAATGAAATCATTTATTGCGATCCAGTCTGGAAGAGGCACACTATAGCGCACAGAGAAAGAACCTTTAGCCTAGGGTAGTGTCTTGAGTGACAGTTCTACTTGAAAATAGAACCAAACCAGATAGTGGCACATACCACTGTTGTGTTTCACCATGTAGGAATTTTTTGGCACTTAGTTGATGCATAGCTTTCTAAGCCCTCACTCAGAGCTCCATGCCACTCAGTTCAGGTTTGATTTTGAATGCTCACGTGTTTGAAATATTTCCATCTTTATTTCAGATGTATAAATGAGCAGATCTTAGAGGTTTGTCTCTGTGGATTTTTGTTAGAACTGTTTTGTTAAGGGAACTGCTTACATTTTCTGTGGAATACACAATGAGCTATGCTAACTGTGCTGATAATGCATTAGTAACTACAATATAATTACTCTATTGTAAAACTTTGTTCTACAAAGACTCTCAATCTCTCACACAACTGGTGTGATATTACTTTGGCATCTGTTATAACATATTTAATATTTACTCACACCAGAAAGCTTAGACGTACATATTTTAAATCATAAGTTAAATCTAAAACTGATAGAAAATTTTACAAATACTAGAAGCTAGAAATCAGCCTGAAATCTTCTGTCAGTGCAGGCGCGTACAGAGGGGGGTGCTTTGGGGGCTTGAGCACCTGCCCCTTTTGCTCCATGGCCCCAAGTGCCCTTTTGGTGTTTTTTTTTCCTTACACATGTACTACAATTATTACTATATTACTATTATTACTATTATTATTATTATTACTTTGCAAGAAAAACAACACAATAAGCCCTCCGGTCACATTGTTACCTTTGACCTTTTGCCCGTGACGCACGACGCACTTGCCTCTCGCGCGGTGAGATAAGGCGGCTAACTGCGGAGCTCAAGCTAGCGACGTTCCAGATTACAAAACAGCTTTTGGTGAACTGAAAAAAAATATTTTTGGTGAAAACACTGGAGTCGGCTTGCTACTTGTCAGTTAACGGAAAACGTTAAATGTTGTATCGTTTCTCCTTCAGCACGGAGTCGCGGTTTAAGCAGAAATGAAATATAACAAGACAGGCGTCTTAGAGAATATAAGTCTCTAAGTCCGCCTTTCTCTGAATAAACTGAGCGGGAGGAGACAGACAGGTGAGGAAAAGCTGTTCTTATCTATCGATCCAGTATTTTTATCATCAGACATTAGGCTGTTGTTGTGCTATGAGCTAGCTGCTAGCTAATGACTTTGCTAGCAAAGCAAGGTAACTATAGCTTCCCTGTATTGTTAATGACAGCAGTCATTCTTCAGTATTACTTATGCAATAGGGGCACACCGCCCGTCCAAAACCTATCATCTCCATAATGGATATATGTCCGATTTTCTAATTTTCTTTGGTGAATGATGTATTAGGTAAATGTATCTTGAAGGAGAATTTAAATAAAAGTCCAACAAGGATATTCATTTAGAATTAAAAATAACTCATCCTGAACTACCATGATAGATATAATGTATGTAATAATCAAACTGTTTCTGTCCAATAAAAGCATTTCATTAATGAAGGAGCAAACATAAACTTTTATTTGCACACATCAGAAATCTTTGGTTTTGATTTTAGGCTCTCCCCAGACCTCATGTGAGAATCACAAGCAAAACTTTGAATAGCAAGCAAAGATTTCTGACATGCGCAAATAAGTTTGTTTGTTTTGCAAATAATTTTTTTAAGTCATGAGATAAAAAATTGTGATTTCAGTTTAAAAAAAAATTTAAGTTAAACTTTTTTTGTTGAAAAAAATGTTACAATTCAAAATGTCTTGATCACAATTTTATATTATTTAATTGAGGTTAGTATTTGAATTGAATAATTGTGAAACAAATTGAACTCCATAGGAGAGGTCTCATTTTCTCTTAAATTAATATTGTTATGCTATGGACTGAAAAACATATTGGTTTAAACACAAGGGTAAAGAATTGGTAGTGTGGTTTATTATAGTGTTCTGATCATAATTCTTTGTTTTGCTTTTTTCAGTTCAAAGACGCCACGTAAAGAGAGACGTCAGAAACAAAAAAGAAAGGCAGTGGATTGTTGACCAACTGGGTCAACTGTACCAATCATTCACAGTGAGGTTATTAACATTCTTCAAGACATGACCAACAGAAAACTGTTGCTATGAACAAAAGAGAACAAAAACAGCAAAAAATGCTTAAAAGTTTGAAATTTGTTTTTAAACAGTTAAAAGGCAAGAGACTGAAATAAATAAGACTTCACTCAACACAGAAAAAGAAAAAGAAAAGAAAAGAGAAACTGACAAGAAAAAAAGAAGAGGAAAGATTGAAGAAAATGTACATAGGTACTTACAAAATACACTAAAACACAAATAGAGTAGTCTTTTCTCATAGTGACATACATTAATTACATTTTTGCTTTTGTTTTTTTCCTGCAGTTCCACGTTAAAGTTTGATGCAGCTCTGTTTTTTCTGAATGGACCGTCTTCATCTCCACTGCAAGTACAGCAACCCAAGCAGATGTTCTTTGATTGTATGTCTCACAATTTTGTAATCTATCATTGT